AAAAAACAAATAAGGAACTTGAAATTCACCACTCTGTCTTTTCAAGTAAAAAGATGAACAGATTAAAAACTCAATAACTCTTCTAGGATTCTTAAGAGAGGCAAGGACACAATGCAAAATGCTGGCCTCAAAACTGGAGAGACAGACAAATATAAGGAGTTGTGGCTTACTGGAACAGAAAGTCAAGAACAAAAACCACAAGGGGAACCAATGCCAAGGTAGGAAAACCTGAACTGTAACTGACCAGTTGCTGGAGGCTCAGCATGGACAAGTTAAAAACTCCAGAGTGGTCCACACAAAAACCTGCACATGGGTGTTTATAATAACTTTGTTCATAACTATCAAAACTGGGAAGCAGCCAAGATGTCCTCCACTAACTGAACAGATAAATAAACTACAGTACATCCAAACAATGGAATATTATTCAGCACTAAAAAGAAACGGGCTATCAAACCATAAAAAGACATGGAGGAACCTTAAATACCTATTACTAAGAGAAAGAAGTAAATCTGAAAAGGCTATATACTGTATGATCCCAAATACGTGACCTTCTATTAAAGGCAAAACTATGGAGACAATAAAAAGATAATTGCTACAGTCGAGGGTGGTAAGGTCATGAACAGAGAGAACACAGGATTTTTAGGGTGGTAAAAATGCTTTATATATTATAATGATGGATATATGTCATTATACATTTGTACAAACCCATACAACGTACAACACCAAGAGTGAACTCTAAGGCAAACTATGGACTTTGGGTGATTATGATATATCAGTGTAGATTCATCCTTGGTAATAAATGTACCACTCTGCTGAGTGATGTTGATAATGGGGAAGGTTATGCATGTGGGGCAGAGGAATATACAGGAAATCTCTGTACCCTCCTCTCAATTTTGTTGTGTAACTGAAACTGCTGTAAAAAAAAAAGTCTTTAAAAAAAAAAATAAACCCTCAAGGGGGACTCACCCCTAGTATTTTGTGAGATTATACATCCAGGAGCTCAACTAGGTCCTCCGTAAATATCACAGAAAAATCCCCTCATGCTTCCCACAGTGGGAGGTGAAAAAGAACCATTTTGAAATACACCAGAGCACTTTGTTCTTCTTAACAAGGCATGCCCTCAGGAGAACTAGTTAACCAGAGCCTAACCTGCTAGGGTATTATCACAGTTTAACCTGAAAGAAAGGAAATACCCAACTCCAGCCCACTCTTACTGTCCTCTCCCACCTAACAGGGGAGGAAAGAAACTAAAACACTCCTTAAGCTCACAGTCCAGAGACAAAGGCTCCCTAAAAAACTGAGACCTAATCATAGGACTATAGAACAGCTTTCTCTCCCCTTTGACACATTACTAAAGGCCTATTTACAACAGTTCCTTTTTCCTAGTACATCATGTCCAGCTATCAAGAAAAAATTACAAGGCACAATTAAAGACAAACAACACAATTTAAAGAGACATAGAAAGCTTCAGAACCAGACACGGCAGGGATGTTGGAATTATCAGAACAGAAATATGAACTTTTTTTTTTAAGATTTTATTTATTTGAGAGAGAGAGAGAGCGTGAGCAGAGGGAGGGGCAGAGGGAGAGGGACAATCAGACTCCCTGCTGAGTGCAGAGCCTGACACGGGGCTCAATTCCAAGACCCTGAGATCATGCTGGAGCCAAAGTCAGACGCTTAACCGAATGAGTCACCCAGGCGCCCCAGTCAGAACAGGAATTTAAAACAACTATGATTAATATGCTAAGGTCTCTAATGGATAAAATAAACACCATTGAAGAACAGATAGGCAATTTAAGAAGAGAGATGGAAATCCTAAGAAAGAACCAAAAAGAAATGCTAGAGATCAAAAACACTAAGAAATGAAGAATGCCTTTTTTTTTTTAAGATTTTTATTTATTTGACAGAGACACAGCGAGAGAGGGAACACAAGCAGAGGGAGTGGGAGAGGGAGAAGCAGGCTTCCCGCTGAGCAGGGAGCCTGATTGGGGCTCTATCCCAGGACCGTGGGATCATGACCTGAGCCTAAGCGCTTAACGACTGAGACACCCAGCGCCCCTGAAGAATGCCTTTGATGAGCTTAAGAGTGGATAAGACATGGCTGAGGAAAGAATCCCTGAGCTTAAGGATACCTCAATAGGAACCTCCAAAACTGAAAAGGAGAAAAAAGACTGAAAAAACAAAAAACAAACAAAACAAAACAGAAAAACAGAGGGGCGCCTGGGTGGCTCAGTTGTTAAGCGTTTGCCTTCAGCTCAGGTCATGATCCTAGAGTCCTGGGATGGAGCCCCACGTCGGGCTCCCTGCTCAGCGGGGAGCCTGCTTCTCCCTCTCCCTCTGCCACTGCCCCTGCTTGTGCTCTCTTGCTCTCTGTTAAATAAATACATAAAATTTAAAAAAAAAAAAGAACAGAATATCCAAGAGTTGTGGGATAACTACAAAAGGTATAACATATACCTAATGGGAATTCAAGAAGGATAAGGAAAAAGAAAAACAGAAGATATATTTGAAACAATAGTAACCAAGAATTTCCCCCAAATTAATGTCAATCCCTTCTTTGGCATTATGTGTCTTTATATTTAAAGTAGATTTCTTATAGACAACATATGTTTGGGTGTTATACTTGATCCACTCTGACAATCTCTTTTAATGGGTGCATTTAGACCACTGATGTTCATAATGAGTACTGATATATTTGGATTAATATCTACCATATTTGCATGGTAAAAACTACACCTAGATAAATAACTAGACCTACAAAAAAAAAAAAAAAAAAAAAAAAAAAAAAGCTACACCTAGGCAATTCATTTCCAAACTAGAGAAAATCAAAGAGAAAGAAAAAATCCTGAAAGAAGCCAGGAGGAAAAAAGCACCTTATCTACAGGCAAACAAAGATAAGAACTACATCCATCTTCTCATAACTATGCAATCAACAGAGTAGAGTAAAATATTTAAAGTGTTGAAAGGGCACCTGGCTAGCTCAGTCAGTAGATATGCAACTCTTGATCTTGGAGTCATGAGTTCAAGCCCCACATTGGACATAAAGCTTACTTAAAAAAAAAAAAATTAAGAGAATTTGTTGCCATTAGATGTGCCTTACAAGAAATGTTAAAAGAAGTTCTTTAGAGAGAAGAAAAACATAGATCAGAAACTCAGATCCACAAAAAGAAAGGAAGAGCATCAAAGAAGGAATAAGGTAAAAAAAAAAAAAATTATTTTCTTCATTCTTAATAACAGCTATCTCAAAATAACAATAGCAACAACATATTTGGTTATGTACACTTATGTATATATCTTATGAATATGTGTATATATATATACATACACACCTATGCATATATATACTTAAGTATATTTATACATGTGAAATGAATGACAACAATGATACAAGGGACAAGAAAGAAGAACTAGGATTATTTTGTTATTATAAGGTACTCACACTATACCCCACTCACACCCTGTAGTTGTACACTGTTAAGTGAAAGTGGACTTGGGTTAGCTATATATGTATATTGTAAACTCTAGGGCAATCTCTAAAAAAAGAGCAGAAAAAAGTATAACGGATACCCTAAGAAAGAAAAGAAAATGACATCATATAAAATGCTCAATTAAAACCATAAAAGGAAGGGCGCCTGGGTGGCTCAGTCGTTAAGCATCTGCCTTCGGCTCAGGTCATGATCCCAGAGTCCTGGGATCGAGCTCCACATGGGGCTCCCTGCTCCACCAGAAGCCTGCTTCTCCCCCTCCCACTCTCCCTGCTTGTGTTCCCTCTCTCGCTATGTCTCTGTCAAATAAATAAATAAATACATCTTTTAAAAAATAATAAATATATAAAATAAAATAAAACCATAAAAGGCAGAAAAACAGTGGAGACAAAAATAGGAACAAAAAACAAGGGCAATAAGTAGAAAACATAAACAAACAAGGTAGATATAAATACAAATATATCAATACCCATATTAACAAATATGGTAGATATTAATCCAAATATATCAATACTCAATTTGAACATCAATGGTCTAAATGCACCCATTCAAAGAGATTGTCAGAGTGGATCAAATACAACACCCAAACATATGTTGTCTATAAGAAATCTACTTTAAATATAAAGACACACAGGGGCGCCTGGGTGGTTCAGTCATTAAGCGTCTGCCT